GCCTGGGCCCCACGATCCAGATCGGGGAGGAGACGGTGATCACGGTGGACGCAAAGGCGGCGGGACAGGGCAAGGTCACCTGCAAGGTGTCAACACCTGATGGTGCCGAGCTGGACGTGGATGTGGTGGAAAACCACGACGGCACTTTTGACATCTTCTACACCGCTCCTGAGCCCGGCAAATACGTCATCACCATCCGCTTTGGCGGGGAGCACGTCCCTAACAGCCCCTTCCATGTCATGGTGAGTGGGGCACTGCATTTTGAACACCAGGGTGAAATCTTGGTGGGGTTGGGAAATGGTGGATCCAAGGGGCAAAGAGTCGAGGGCACAACGGACAGCATGGGACAGACTTTGAGCACCAGGGTAACACCATGGTGGGGCTGGAACATCATGGTAGGCATCAACAGACAGAGGACTGGGGCCATGGTCGACACCAAGGGACAGAAAGTTGGGTCGGTCAGTGTGGAGCTGCAAGAGCACAATGGGCACTGCAGGGTTGGGTAACCATGATGGGAGTTATGGAACTGGGGGACCATAGAGGGGCAGTGCTGGGACAATGGTGACCATCATGGAGCTGAGAGTTGGGAGACCATGGTGGGCACTGTGGGGCTGGATGGCCGTGGTGGGCACTGTGGGGCCAGGGCTGTGGTGTTGGGAGTTGTTAGGATCATGGTGGACACCATGGGGTTTGGAGGTCATGAAGATCATCACAGGGCTGGGAGCCCACCTTGGGCATTCTCATGTCCCCTCTATGGCCACCCTGGGGCTGGGAGCCCACCATGAGGTTCTCACCTTCCCTCTCTGCCCCTTGATCAGGCCACAGAGGAGCCCCCAGCCACCACCGAGAACCTCCGGCCCTTCAACCTTGTCATCCCCTTCACGGTGCAGAAGGGTGAGATCACAGGTAGAGCACAGGGTTGTGGGGATGGGGAGCACCCCTTCAGACACCAGCCCCCTCTTGGTGCCCCTACTGACAAAATACCCCCAGGTGAGGTGCGGATGCCCTCGGGAAAGACAGCGCGGCCCAGCATCACTGACAACAAGGACGGGACGGTGACAGTGCACTATGCCCCCTCTGAGAAGGGGCTGCATGAGATGGACATTCGCTACGATGGCAACCACATCCCTGGTGAGCTGCTGGGGGGCACTGGGGGGCACTGGGAGGTGTCTGCGGAAAGTGGATGCAACTATGCCCTGGCTGGGCTCCTGTGGGGCAGGCATGCACCATGGTGTGGAATGTCCCTGTGGAATGTCTCTGTGGGGTCCATGGTTGGTCACCCTTGTGTTGGGGGTGTCCCCATGGTCTCTGACACACATTGTCCCTTGTGTCCCCAGGGAGTCCCCTTCAGTTCTACGTGGATGCCATCAACCCACGCCACGTCAGTGCCTATGGGCCTGGGCTGAGCCATGGGATGGTCAACAAGCCGTGCACATTCACCATTGTCACCAAGGATGCTGGCGAGGGTGAGTGATGGCCAAGCAGGGCTGGGAGGTCATGGGGACCCCCCAGTGCTATCAGGAGGGACTGGAGAGCCCTGCTGCCTCCTGACACCCCTTGTCCAGTGCCTTCTGACAACGCTTGTGTCTCCAGGTGGGCTGTCGCTCGCGGTGGAAGGTCCCTCCAAGGCGGAGATCACCTGCCAGGACAACAAGGACGGGACATGCACCGTGTCCTACCTGCCCACAGCCCCTGGCGACTACAGCATCATCGTGCGCTTTGATGACAAACACATCCCGGGCAGCCCCTTCACTGCCAAGATCACTGGTGAGACAGGCTGGGGGCACCGTGCACACTGCGGGCTGGGGGAGTTCTGGGGGCTTTTGGCTGCTCCACGTGGCCATGGGGGCACCTGGTTGGCCATGGAGACATCTATGGAGTAATGGCCATGAGGGCACCTGCGAGGCTGTGGGGGCACTTGTATCGCCATGGGGGCACCTGTGGGTCACAGAGACCATGACATGGTCATGGGGACACCTGTGGGGTAATGGGCACACTTGCCCCATGGCCATTGGGACAGCTGTGGTGTCTCTTGTCCATCTCTGGCCACCAGGATCCCCCCTCCCATGGCCTTGGGGACACTGTGAAACCTTGGAGTTCCCAAACCATGCCCATGGGGGTGTCACAGACCTTTGAGGACCCCATCACAAGGCCATGTAGACCTTGTGGGGACCCTATCCATGGCCTTGAGGATGCTATTCACACGGCTTTGGATGACCCCTGATTCTGAGGACCCTCTCCATGTGTCCACTGGGACTTTGTGGAGGCTTTGGGAACATCATTGCACCACCCCTGGGATCATATTCATTTGTCGTCCACCTTGGGCTGATGTCCCTGCTGATGGTGTCTCTGCAGGGGATGACTCCATGCGCACGTCCCAGCTCAATGTGGGCACTTCAACGGATGTGTCCCTGAAGATCGCAGAGACAGACCTGAGCCTGCTGGCGGCCACCATCCGCGCACCCTCCGGCAATGAGGAGCCATGCCTGCTCAAGAGGCTGCCCAACCGCCACATCGGTGTGCAGGGACATGGGGACACCACGGGGACACCACAGGGACACCACAGGGACACCACGGGGACACAGGGACATGCAGATGTAGCACAGGAGAACTGGCACATGGGCACATGAGAGGAGCATGTGGGACCTGGGAACTTGTCGGGACAGGGAACAGTGGGGCTACGGGGTCACAGGGATGGGTGGCCTTGTGGCATTGGGTCAGCAGGGGGTTGGTGGCCATAGTCAGGGGACTTGGATGGTGGCCAGGGGCTGGTGGCAGTGGCTAGGGGATGGGGATGGTACATGTGTGGTGGCCATGTCTGGTGGTGGTGTGTGACCGCTGTGTCCTCCCCAGGCATCTCATTCACGCCCAAGGAGGTGGGCGAGCACGTGGTGAGCGTGCGGAAGAGCGGGCAGCACGTCACCAACAGCCCCTTCAAGATCCTGGTGGGACAGTCAGAGATTGGTGATGCTGGACGGGTCAAGGTGTGGGGCCAGGGGCTTCTGGAGGGCCACACCTTTGAGGTGGCTGAGTTCATCGTGGACACACGCAGCGCTGGTGAGGACATGGTGGGGGATGGCCATGGGGCAGGGGTAGGGCAGGATGGAGTGATGGCCATGACCATGAGTAGGCTGTGGCCATCCAAGGATGAGGTGGTGGCCATGGTTATTGCTGTGGTGCACTAAGGCCACGTGTGATGGTGGCCAAAGCTACATGTGGCCAGGAAGGGATGGTGGCAATGGTCATGGCCAAGGCCAGATGGTCCCTGTGGCTGGGGCTGGATGGTGGCTGTGGTGGCCATAGCCAGGATGATTTGAGGACCATGGACATGCTACAGCTGTGGCCAGCACAGGATCAGGTGGTGGCTATGCTGTGACCTTCATCTAAATGGGATGGTGACCATGGTGGTGGCATGGCCAATGCCCAGGTGAAATGTGGCTAAGGCCATGCCATGGCTGTGGACAACAGGATGGGCTGGTGGCCATGATTATGGGCATGGTTTGACCGTGGCCAGGATGGAGTGGTGGCCATGTCCATGGTGCAGTCAAGAGGGTGATGCTGTGTTGACCATGGCATGGCCGTGGCCAGGACAGGGGTGATGACTGGGATTGGGTGGTGACCATGGACAATTTGAGTTTGTGGCTGTGGTGTGACCATGACCAGGACAGGGACAGCCTCCATGGGACACCGCTGATCACGTCCCCATGTCCACCCAGGTTATGGCGGGCTGGGTCTGTCCATTGAGGGCCCCAGCAAGGTGGACATTAACTGTGAGGACATGGAGGATGGCACCTGCAAAGTCACCTACTGCCCCACCGAGCCTGGCAACTACATCATCAACATCAAGTTTGCTGACAAACATGTCCCAGGTGGGGCTGGGGGACACATGGGGGACAGAGGGCAGTGGTGGGGAGGGGTGCTAGGAGCCCAGGGGGTGACGGAGGTAGCTGTGTCCCACAGGGAGCCCCTTCACGGTGAAGGTGACGGGTGAGGGGCGCATGAAGGAGAGCATCACGCGCCGGCGGCAGGCGCCCTCCATCGCCACTGTTGGCAGCACCTGCGACCTCAACCTCAAGATCCCAGGTACGGTTGGCCTTCCTCCTTCTTCTCCTCCTCCTTCTTCTCCTCCTCCCCCCTCCTCCTCCCACCCTCCCTCCTTCTCCTCCTCCTTCTCCTCCTCTTTTCCTCCTCTTCCTCTTCCTTCTCCTCTTCTCATCTTTTATCCTCTGTTATCCTCCTCTTCATACTCCATCATCCTCCTCCTCTCTTCCTCCTCTTCTTCTCCCTTCTCCATCCTAATCTTCTTCCTCCTCCTGCTCTGTGGGCCAGGGGGATGGAGACACATCTCAGCTGCTCCAGCTCTGATTTCTCCTTGCTTCCTCTTTCTCTCCCCTCCGTGCGTCTGTGTCCATGTCTGTGTCCCTCTGTGTGCCTGTGCCTGCGTCCTTGCATCCCACTGTGCGTGCCACTCTGCACTGATACCTCCATCCACATGTCCGTGTGTCCATTCACACCTATCCACGTGTCCATCTCTGCCTTCATCCACCCTTGGCTCCACCCCTCCCCGCACCATTCTCTACTTCCAACCCTGTGACCACCCATGTCTCCACCCATCATGATTCCATCCTCCCTGTGTCCATCCTTGTCTCCATCCCTCCGTGTCTTCACTCATCCATGTCTCCTCCCACCACTACATTCATCCCTCTGTCCATTCATCCCCATGTGTGTCCATATCTTCCTGTGTCCCCGTCACCGCTCTGTGCACCCTTCCGTTCCCCGTCCGTGCTCACACCCTGTGGTCTCCACGTGTCCCCACGTGTCCGCACTGTCCCNGAATGGTTGTGGTGAAAATCAAGGGGAAGGCTGGCAATGCAGATATCCTGGTGGGGGTCTGTTCTAGACCTCCCAACCAGGATGAAGAGGCAGATGAATTATTCTATAAAGTGCTGGCTGATGTTTCGTGGTTGCCAGTCCTTGTTTTTGTGGAGGTCTTTAACCTGCTGGATGTCTGCTGGAAGCAACCCAGTGGAGAGACTACAGTCTGAGAGGCTCTTGGAATGTGTGGAAGAGAACTTCTGGCTCAGTAGCTGAGCAGCCCTCCAAGGGTGGGGCCCTGCTGGACCTGCTGTTTGCAGACTGAGAGGGGCTGCTGGAAGATGTGGTAGTTGGAGCCATCTTGGGCACAGTGACCCTGAAATGAAGGAGTTTCAGTCCTTGGCGAAGTAACAAGGTGCGTCAACAAAACCTTACACTGTCAGAGGATGAATGTCAGCCAGTTTGGGACACTGATTTGGACAGTCCCTTGGGAAGCAGCCCTTAAAAACAAAGGGTTCCAGGAAGGCTGGGCATACATCGAGAAGGAAAGCTTTAAGGTGCAGGAGCAGCCTGTCCCTATGTGCCTAAAAATGAGCCGGTGGGGAAGAAGGGATTGTCCCCCTGACCTTGGCATTGGTGAAGCCACACCTCAAGTCCTGTGTCCAGTTCTCAGCCCCTCAGTTCAAGAAGGACATTGAGGGGATGGAGTGTGTCCAGAGAAGGCAACGTAATAGGGAGGGCCTAGAGGATGAATCCTCTGAGGAGCAGCTGAAGGAGCTGGAGAGGCTCAGCCTGGAGAAAAGGAGGCTCAGGGGAAACCTTCTCAGTCTCCAGAACTCCCTGACAGGAGATCAGAGCCAGGGGAGGCTCAGCCCTGGAGCGGCCTCAGGTTATGCCAGAAGAGATTCAGGGTGGACGTCAAGAAAAATTTCTTCATGGAAAGGCGGTCAGGCATTGGAAGGAGCTGCCCTGCAGAGTCCGAGTCCCTGGAGGTGTCCAAGAAATTATGGAGGAAAAAATGTAAACCTTCATTTCTCAAGGTATGTAATCAAAGTCAGATGCCTTTCTGAAATGGATGCAAAGAAACATTTGTAAAAGGTGAATGTAGGCAAACTAGCAGAGCACCTTACTGCTGTTTTCCAGTAAGGATCACCACATTTAAAATATTCATTCAGGGTGGGAAGAAGGGTTGACAGGCTGAGAGAGTCATGGCTGGTCAGCCTGGNTCCCCCAGTACCCCCGTGTGTGCCAGCCCCTGCAGCTCGTCCAGTCTGTCCCCTGCGCCCATGGCCTCTTTGCACCCAGTCACGGGTGACTGGCACCCCCAGACAGTCCCTGGTATCTTCCCAGCACCCCCAAAAGGTCCTCCACCACTCCCCCAGCTTCTTCACACTTGACGACCTGTGGTACCCCAAAACAGCCCCTGGCACCCTATGGGGTCACAAGCCAGGCCTGGGGGTCTCCATCCTAGGGAAGCCCACCCAGGGGCCCCCAGCCCACCTGGGGCAGTTGTGCCCCATGCCTGGGAGTCCCCAGCCCATCCCAGGGCGCTTCTGGGGGCCCCCTGGGGTTCCCAGGGTGCCCTTTGGATGCTGGGCGTTATGGTTGCCCCGTGGGTCTGAGGGTGACACAGGGAGCCTGGCGTGTCCCTGAGGGTGCCTGGGGCTGCCACAGGGGCCATGAGGGTGACCCGTGACTGTGTCTCAGCCATGTCCCGTGATGGGGAAGTGCCACCAGCGTATCCTGCTGAATCCTGCCAGGTCCTGCCTGCAGGCAGGGAGGCACGCCGTGGGGGAGGAGAGGAACACCCCAAGGACATTGGGAGTTGTCACTGTGACCTTGTCACCGTTCCCCCAGCTCCTCCCCAGCCTCCTCAGCCCCAGCAGAACCTGGCAGGAAGGTTATTTATTGTCCTCCCCTTGTGCCCAAATGTCATTTGTGTCCCCTGTGTGTCTCCCTGACAGTGTCCCCAACATGTGCTGACACCACTCACTGTCTGCTCTGCTCTGCTTTGTGGGGTGCTGTGAGGGGTGGGGACAGGGGGACCTGGGGGCATGGCACAGGGAAATGCAGGGGGGCACTGGGACAGAGCCGTGGAGAGCTCAGGAGCACCCTGAGACCCCCCATGACTCCCACCCTCGGGGGGACAGCAGGGGTGAGCCCCCCACGCCCACAGGGCCTGAGGGCATTGGTGTGAGGGCCTGGGAGCCCCGCCCAGCCAGGGCTGACCCCGTGCTTGTGTTCCCACCTCCTGAGCAGCCCCTGCTGTGCCCTGCACACAGGGGTGGCACCTGCAGGGCACTGAGGGGAGCCCACATCTCTGGGGCCCTGGGCAGTGGCCGTGCTTAGGACACGCACTGGGGAGTGGGCAGGGCTGGGCACGGACACAGTTGTCACAGATGTCCCACACACACATACACACAGGTGTCACACACATACCACGAATACACATTTATGGCACACAGAATCCCAGGACAGTGTGAGGGGGAAGGGCCCTCTGGTGATGCCCCAACTCAGCTCCTGCCCAGGCAGGGTCACCTGGAGCAGGTGGCACTTGTCCAGGTGGGTTAGGATGTCTCTGTGAACGGACACCCTTCACCCTCCTGGGCAGCTGTCCCAGGGCTTGGCCTTCCCATGATGGAGGGAGGTTGTGCCTCATGCTGAGCTGGGACTGTCGGAGCCCAGGGCCTGACTCTTCATCCTTCGCTGGGCAGGACGGGGCTGGGCCTGGCACCATCCTCATCACCTGGGGAGGTCTGGGCTTGGTGGGATCCCCCCTCAGATGTTTGCATGGATTGGTGCAATCCCCTCACGTGAGGGATTAGTGTGGACATGTGAGCAGCAGTCCAAAGCTCCACTTGGACTCGGGAGCCCTGGCAGCCCATCAGGCACAGAGGAGGAATTGCCAGGAGCAGGGGGAGATGGAAATGGCTCCCGGCTGTGCAGGTGACCCAGAGCGTGGTGACTGGGGCAGGCAAATGGATGTGGAGCAGCAGGACATGGCGTGGTGGCGGCTCAAGCAGCAGGATTTGCAGGAGGGCACAGCCACCCTCCTAACCCATGAGGTGTGCTCCTCTCAGGTGGGGATTATTTTTTTCACTTGTCCAACTTGATTGGACCCAGCAGTAGTTCACACACTGACAAAAGCCATTGCTGGCAGGAGTGGGGAGAAGCAGACAGAGCTCCCCAAAAAAGCCTGGGCTGCAGGGGGTGTCTGAGCCTACTGTTACTGCTGGAGCACAGTGAAACAGCACTGCATGTGGTGTGAGCAGGTGGAGCATCTCACAGAGGAGGCGGAGAGGCTGAAGATTGTCAAGGATTGTCAAGAGAAACAGACTGGTGGAGTTGCACCTTCCATCCAAGAGAGAAATGCAATGTATGAAAGCTCAGTAACAGTCAGAGTTGCCCTGACCTTCTTGCCTTCAGGCAGGAGGAGACCTAAAAGGGGGAATGGAAACAGGTCCCTGCTTAGGGAGGTAGCAGAATCCCCCCCGGCTTCCCTCGCCTTCCCAGGTGCCCTTACAGAACCCATATGAGGTCCTGGATTTTGAGGGTCAGACAGTTGAGAATGCAGCAGAAAGTCTGCTTGGTGGGTGTCCCAGATCCGTGCAGTCAGTCAGACAGATCACAGCTACAGTTATTAAGGAAAAAAGGAAGGGCAGTTGTAGTGTGTGATTCACTTTGAGGGGGGCTGAGGAGCCTGTGTTCCAACCAGNGTGAGTGCAGGGAAGCGTGTTTTCACAAGGGCTGGGTGCCCTGGAGCACTAGTGTGTGTTTGCACAGAGCTGTGCTTGCACAAGGGATGGGTACACCGGAGCATCAGTGTGTGTTTGCACAGAGCTGTGCTTGCACAAGCTGCTTGCACGTGAGGCCTGAGGTGTGTGCCTGCACAAGGGCTGTGTGTGCAGGGAACTGGGCTTGCATGAGTGCTGGGCACACTTGCCACAGCAGTGCCCTTGCACACGGCTGTGTGCTCACACAAGGGCCCACCTGTGTGTGCCCAGGACACACCTGGGACAGAGTCCCTGGCACACACCTGGGGGCTGCTGTGCTGATGGGGGGTGCCCTTCACATGGGATGTGTGCAGAAGTGGGGGCAGCTCTGGCTCTTTGCACACACAGGTGCATACCTGCTTATGGGGTGTGTGTGCTGAGCCTAGAGGGCTGTGCATGCCCTCGGCACGGGTGTGCAGTCCCTCAAGGGCGTGTGCATGTGTCTGCACACGCGTGTGTAAATGTGTGTGTGCACGCTGGCAGGTGCACATGTCCTGTGCATGAGGGGGTGCACTTGCAGGGTGGGGTACACCCACTGGAGGTGTACGTGGGCTCTGGTGGGTGTTGTGATGTCAGGGCACACTGGTGGCAGGGTGGTGGGATGGCAGTGACAAGGTGCCCTGGTGATGGGGTAGCAGAGCGTGAGTGTGCCAGGGAGCCCTTGGGATGATGGTGAGAAGGTGATGGGGCAATGGGGTGCCCCAGTGCCCTGGTATCAGAGTGACAGGATGTTGGGGTGACAGGATGACAGGGTGCCCCAGGGACAGGTGCTGGGATGCCATAGTGACATGGTGATATGGAACTGGGGTGCAGAGGGGCTGGGGTGCAGGGGTACCTGGCTTACGGGATGATGGAGTGATGTGGTGACGAGGTGCTCTGGTGACAGGATGACAGTGTGCCATGTAGTGATGGGGTGCTGGGGTGCCATAGTGGCACAGTGGTGGTGTGACAACAATGGGGTGATGTTGGGGTGCCCAGGTGCCTGCACGGTGACGCGGTGCATGCCCACAGGCAAGGCGTTGGTGCAGGAGCTGGGG